AATTTACAAAACCACAATCACTGTGTTTTCTTTCCTTACTTTGTATGAAGTTGCTCAGTAATTGGACACTCCTATGTGAAGTATGTGGCATCTGAAGATGCAGATATTAATCTATAAACTGCTCGTCTTTGCCTCTGGGGAGAGTGTTGTAAATACCAAGTGATAAGAGATGCTGAGAGCAGCACACCCTTATTTTAATTATTTTATCTGAAGCAGAGACAAAATGTCCCATTTTGTGAACTCAGGTTTTGTTCTGTGCCAATAATAAATTTTTTACACAAAATGGAAAACATCCCCAAGAGCTATTTTGGAAGTTAGGAGACCAGAATTCAGAACTGTGCTTGAATTAAGGCTGTTATTATGATGAGATCCAAATTTGACTGAAACCTCTATCTTTTTGTTTTATTTTTTTTCTTCCCTGCAGATTTGTTCTATCCCTCTGTGCTTGATTGATTTCTCCAGCTTGTAACTTACTGTAAGATCAGGGCTTATTAATCACAGGTCTTCCAGGCAGTTTTAACGGAACATGGTGTGATGTTTTATTTCTGTAAACACTCTCCCTTTTTGATGAAATGATGGTGTATAGCCAGTTGAGGTAACTCTTAGTAGGGGAAAAAAATCCTAGTAGTGTGTCAGGCAGCTATCCTAGCCTCTCTCTCTTTGTCTGAGAAAGCCTGCCCTCTTCTGGGTGAAGTTACAGCTGGATAAATTGTCAGGACTGCAGTGGAACTGCTTGACATTGTTCTGCTTTGTCGGGAGAAGCTGTTGACTTTCCATGGATAGCTTTGGTGGGCCACTGTATTGATACAAAATTCTATGTAGCTGTGGACTTTCTGTTACAATAACAGTAAGGAATAAAATTTGTTGCATTAAGGTTTCAAATATATGTAAATTGTACTGTGGTCTCCCTGGGGGTGCGTATCTATCTATCTATCTATCTATCTATCTATCTAATCTATCTATCTATCTATCTATCTATCACTTAAAAAAGATTATGGAAATATGGCCTTTCCTTATGTCTAATAATTTTGCATTCCTGTGAAATTGTCTGTCTGCAACTTTTTTTCCTGTCAGATCAGAATTCTTTTTGTTAAACCCAGAATTCTTTTTAGTTACCTCCTTCTTTTATGTTCTAAAAATATCTTTTTGTTGTTTTTTAACTCCTTCCCCAACTGCCAGAACACCAATAGCTTTGATTGTCAGCATCATAAATTGACAAAGGTAATTAACATTTTAATGGGGTTGTAACATAGATGACAAACCAAATTCCTAGAGCGTAAAAAAATGAAGAATGTGGTGAAGTTTCTAAGTCAGTCCTGGGTTCAGTTCTGGAAAATATATATTGTGGCCTGTAATCATCGTGATGACATTTGAAGACCTACATTAAACAGATTGATTGCAAGGAGCAGGTGTTCAGATCTCATCAAAAAGGCCAAAGGCTGGGCCTGGAATCACTAGGTACCTGCTCAGAGCCTGGCAGTGAAGCACTTGTGGATTGGTAGGGTCACAAATACACGAGTTTGATTAAAGTAGGCAAGTTGTCTTTGTGCTTAACCAGCTAGTGAAAAAAAAGCCTGGGTCTTATACTTCAAGGTAGCACAGTATTAACTCATGTCAGTGTTTAGAGTTCAGTTAGCATGTTTACATTATTTTAGTAAATTTGAATGTGATTGTTTATAATGCTCTAAAGATTTAAAAACTTGGTCATAGAACAAGATCATGCTGTGATAAGAGCTTGCACAGCATGTCTTTACTCCAAGGAACATTTAGTCTAGGCATAAGACAAGATAAATTGGTGGATATAGGGGGCATACTGACATAATGCTACAGCATTGGCCAGCAGGACAGACAGCAAAATTTCTGATCATATCCAAATAGATTGTTGTACACATCCTGACGTAATATTTTTACTTAAAAATGCCACGTGCGTGTGATGTTACTGGAATACTTGAGTTGTACTGACTGTGAAAGCTAAACACAGAAAATGTAGTCACCACCTTGCTCAATCATGTGTACTTTATTGCCTTGTTAGATAAAGCTGCCCCTTGGCAGCCTTTCCCCATCATCTTTGTTTTATTAATGAGTAGTTTTGCCTTGCATTTTGAAAAGGCCTTTCCTCTTCTGGCAGACCGTGCTTTCTGGGGAGGCTAATGCTGGTTGTATATGAGATAAGTGATGACTTTCAGCATGGGAAAGATGTGTAAGTAATTTATGAATTAAAGCTTTTTATAGGCTATTGAACAAACGCACCCAAGTACAATAGAATGAGACTATCCCGTTACATGTTTTTTAAATAAATTATTTTCTTTCTACTTGTATTTATGAAAGTAGTCCAGCCCAGGGTCTCTTTCATCAAAAAATGATGGCAAAAAGCAAATTCTGTTGGGTAGTTTCTGGTCTTCTGTTTAACCCCATTAGGGTTTAGAGTTCTACTTCATTTAGACAGTGGACATGCTGGTGAAAAAATTTTGTTGTGCTTCAGTGTAGCAGGTCTGTAGTTGTGGGATACATGACTAAGATGTTTAAGGTATTCCTCTGGCTCTGAGAACAAGATTAAAAACTGGAATAACTTCTTTTTGATGTTACTGGAGAAATACCTATTGACTTCCATGGGCCCAAGTAATTTCTCTGCTTTAGAACTGCATTTATGTTATTAAAATTTGATTATTTTCAAAGAAAATACATAAACTTTGTCTATTAGTATAGGATTTTATATTTTACTTGGAAAATAATCACAATGGTTAAAACAAAGTTAAAGCAAAGGCAAAATTGGAGGTAGCATAGCCAAAACCTAACTCAGTTGGGTATGCCTCTGCCCTTAGTTTTAAGGACATTTTCACAGAATAAAAGCTTGGAAAATGTTGCTGTCTGAATTAGTCAGCTATGTTGGGGAGCTTTCCAAAGACACATCACTGCTACCAAAGTCTATTCACAGAATATCTTATAGCAAGTAGGTAGTTTGAAGTCAGCTTTTGAGTAACTTCATGTAGGTAGTCCAAGAATTGTAGTAGAAATTGCTTTAATTTTATGTGGTTTTTTTTTTTTTTTGTCCCTTACATTAACAGCAAAATGAGGCAGAGTAAGAAAACAAATGTTTGATCACATTGGAAACTTGCTAATGTTTGATTTTTATGCTCTTTAACACAATTACTATATTTAGTGCCTGGCAGAACAAGTGGAAAGAATATGTGTCCTATCAATATTTTTAAAGATTTTCCTCCTACCCCTCTTTAAGCATAAAATTATATTTGAATTATATTTTGTGCAGCTCCCATTTTTACTCTGAAAAAGAAATTTAAACATCAGTCTGATAAATAAGATTTTGAGTTTATTTTGATGCCATACAACCACAAGGGCATCACTTGTGTTCTTAGCAGATCTTGGGAGGCATTTCCCTGTCCTCTAGTGCACCTGTCAGACTTGCAAAGTCAAATTGCTGAGCTCTGAACACTCAGTGCTACTCCTCTGGGATGTCTGTGTGAAAATACACTGAGGTCTTTATTGCTGGTTCCCATTTCTCAACAGTGGACTGGGCTGAATCAGAGAATCTGTTGGAAAATTAATATTTTGATCCTTACTTTATTAGCCTCACTAAGATGCTATTGTATGTGAAGTGAATTTTAGTGGGAAACAGATGTTAGTTCTCTGTTTAATCTTTGGTTTAATAAATTTCTCTGCCAAATACTTTCAATATTGATACTTGTTCACTTTATGCTTGTGCTGTTGAATTCTTTCCCTTGTTCTCTTCCACCTCAGAACTCCAGAGTTCTCTGTTTTCTAACACCATTTGTTTTCACACTTCCTTTTCGTTGTGACATGATAAATTATTCTCCTCTATCGAAGTTGAGATGCAGTGTCTGTCTGCTACAGAGCTCCTTTTCTTTGCAGCCAGTGTATCTCACTGGAGACAGTTGATGATTCTTATTGCGTCATTTCACCTTTTACAACTTGTCTCTGAAAAACATTCCTATTTGTGATGGAGATCATATTTCTTTACTCTGGTGTTCATTCTAGGACCATTATCAAACTTATGTCTTCCTTTCCTCAGGTCTCCAAAAAGTCCAGATAGTTTCTGTCCTTTTTTCTTCATTTTGTTGTTGCCAATGTGACTCCCTATCTGAGCTAATTTACCACATTCTCTGTTAAAGTATCTCAAGATGATTGCAAAGTTTGGAAGGGTAATTAAAAGTAGTTGCAGTAGATGATAATAACAAACTTATTGCAGGATAGTGTCACTTTGAGGCTCTCAGAGATGCGAGAAAGGTAGAATGAGTAAGGGTCAAGGTGACCCAGTGTGCATGGAAACCTCTGCTTGAATTGCATGATTTACCAGCACACACTCCACAAGGTGCAGTGCACAGTAGAGGATTCTTTTGCAAGATCATTCTTGTAATAAGAGCGACTGTTTCCAGAAAAGACACTTCTAAATCAAAATATACCAAAGTGTAACCACTTAAGTACCTTGTGTTCTTGTGGATGTTGAGTTCTGGGCGTTTCAACCCCCTTGCAAAAGCGGTATTGCAAAAGTATTCTTGTCTGCATATGATGGGCAAGTGAGAGTGAGAGACTTGATCTTTTTTCTTTTATCGTAGCCAGTGTGAGGCCTTCACAAATTAGGCAGTTGCCTAGGACATGGCAAGTCCCAGGTGGGACTTGAGGTGTCCTCAGGGTTTCTTCCTGTCTGCCTGAAACAGGTTCACTCTCTGCTCTCTCTGTTCCACTGCTCAGGGAAGTCTGCAGTGCCAACAGAGCACAGGCTCTCCTTAGTTTTCACTGAAAAATATGCATGAGATGTACAGCATAAGACAGAGGAAGAGGCAGATTCCCTGTTGCTGTCAGTAAAGAAATATGAAGGAGGTGACACAGTTTCCCCAACAACTCCCCTTTTCCTTCCCCATCCCATTAGCCCACATTCTCTTCCTGCCCAGCCCACCAGTGATGCCTAATCTCATTTACAGGGGCTGCTGCCAGATCTGCTGGCAGCTGCAGTTTCTTGGCCGCTGTTTTCGGTGAGGGAGCCTAGTGCGCCGAGGAAGAGGAGGAGAAGGGAGGAAGGAGGAGGAGGAAGGCTGCTGCTGTGTGGCGGAGCGGCGGCAGCACCTTTGACGTGCCCGTTCCCCACGTGACGGCCGCTCCATTGCGGGGAGGGAGCTGAGCTGCCGCCGCTCCGGCAGAGCACGGCAGAGCCGCAGCCTCGGCGGCGGCAGCGGCGCCTCCGCCCGCAGTGCGTGTGTGTGCGTGTGTGATGAGCGATCGCCGCGTCCCTCCGCCCGCCGCCGGCTGACACCCACCGCGCGGGGCGCGCCACGAGCAGCGGGAGCAGCCGGGGAGCCGCGGCCAGCGCGCAGTGACCTTGGCCCAGGAGGTAACCGAGCGGGCGGGCTCCGCGCCCCTCCGGGCGGTGCCGCCGCTGTCCGCGGTGCTGGAGCTGCGGGCTGCCCGCGGGGGAGCCGCGCTGCCCGGCCTTTGGCCGCCCGCAGCCGCGCACCCCCCGGGCACTGCGGGAGGACGGGGGCAGCCAAGCCCGAACGCGGGGCGTCTCCGGGGCTGGGGAGGGCTCGGGAGGTTAGTGCTTGCAGTAGGGCTCGGCGGCTCTCCGGGCTCTCCGCATCCGCCGGTGTGGTCTGTAGATGGAGCGCATTCTTACACCTGCGTGCAAAGCCGGAGCTACGGCATGATCCGAGCTCTTGCTTCGTGCAGCTCCCGTGTGACCCGGGGGAGGGCGGGGAGGAGACGGGGCTGGCAGGGAGCCGGTGTTTGGCGGTAAAGTGCGCTGAAAGTAGGTGAAAGCAACCGGAACAGTCTTCTGGCTTATTTCTTCATTTTCCCTCGTCACCTGCTCCCCTGCCCCGGCGTATGTACGAGCACAGATGTGCTGGTGAATTACAGGGAGGTTCAAAGCGTCTGGCTTGCTTTTCGTGCGTTTGAATGTTGTGAAAGTTGCTACGACCCGAGCTGCGAGCGGAGGGCACTGCTGAATACACGTCACGGGCCGAGTCAGCCCTCCCAAAACTGGGCTGGAAGGTGCAGAGCGTCCCTTGCTGAGCCCCGCGCAGGGGAGGAAGAAGCGCTTTGTGAGGAGGCGTCTGTGTGATGTGGTGCTTAGCGGTGTGTCAGGGAGCTGTTCCCGGTGACAATTCATTAACGTTTAAATTAGATCAACACGTTACATCCATAATTTACCGGCAAAAGAGAGTAATGACAGTAAACGGCGAATTAGCAGCTTCGCTCCCGTGTAAATATCTATTGAAGTGAGAGCATACACTGGTTTTGATAACATGTTGGTAGAAAGTCAGGTCCATTAATCATCAGGGAAGCAAGGAGACCTGAGGCGATGCCCTATTGAAACCACTTTTACCTTTTACAGTGCAACATCCAAAAGCGGATCAAATTTGTGGGACATGGCACAAGGAAATAATTATGGGCAAAGCAGCAATGGGGTGGCTGATGAGTCCCCAAACATGCTGGTGTACAGAAAGGTAAGCCTTTGTGTTTTTCAAAAGCTGAGGAAAGTGAAGTCCTGGACTTTTTTGCCTAGCAAGTGAAGCCATTATTTTTGTTTTTCTCCAATTTCATGAATAGAGAAATGACTGTATCTGTTGAATGGTTTGAAATGGTAAAAATTTGCACACGTCAACTTTGCATCTTGTTCAGAAGCAGCTGCTCTTCAATTTGAGATATGTGATGTATTTCAGTCACTTTCTGCATTGACACATATGATATGTGATGGTGGAGATGTGCCAGAGACTGGATCATGTTTTGAGGTCAAGTGTTCACTTTTAAAGTTTATGTGTAAAATTATTTCATATGTATTAAATCTAAATATCAACCATACAATACAGTATTTCTGTCTTGTGCAGAGAAGTCAGAACCATTAAATTATTTCATATGAGGGGAAAAACTGATTAAAGATCTCACTTAACTGTGATTGCCACAAGTTAAATTCCCCCAAAAACATATACTTTAGAATTTTTCTCTGGTAAGGCTTCTAGTGTAGTTATTCTTACAACATCAATACACTAAATTTCTAGGTATTGAACTCTAATAGTGAGGCTTATTTAGTGATTATGCATTAATTTAAGTGAGAGTAAATGCTTGGAGATTTTGCATTATACATTTTTTTTTCAAAAAGCCTTAATTACATCTAAGAAGAAAGAATAACATAAATTCCAATAATAATGGAGAAAAAATAATTTTGCTGTTGCAAATTGAAATAAGTAATTATACAACTGCTTGTTTGTTCTTAGAACACAGTGCTTCTTAACTTGTTTGTGGTTGCTTTTACCAGGTGGAAAAAAATCAATACTTTACTTTGTTAGAGGCATTGACTTTTCCCCTTAACTGTAATAGAAAGCATCTGATATATAATCAGTTTAGTCTTTGAGGTGAACTGAAGTATAAACAGTAACTGTGGTAAGTGTTCTTTTCCCAGAAATTAAAAAATAGTCTCAAATTGAAGTGTGATGCATGCTTTTTTCTCTTCATGTTTTCAGATATGTTGCTGATTTCACTTAGTTTGTTCTATCTGCTATTTTGTGAAATTAGGTTGCTTTTTACATAAGTGAATGAACTTGTGAACCTAACTGTGGTTATCCTTCTACAAATGCACATCTAGAAAAACACAGGATTACCTTGCCATTAACACCACAGTTGTGTTTCAAAAGGCAATTGCATACATGAAAATATGCTGCACATGTGAAAAAGCAATATACCAGACCTTATATTGTTCGTTGTAGGTTTTTGATCTTTCTAAACAGAATCTTTCCACATTTGCCATTTACTTCAGTGCTGGCAAAAAGGTCTTTTCTCAGCTTATTTAGGACACAGAGAAATTGTTTTTCTCTTCTTTTGGTGAGTTTGGTAAAATTTGTACCTATGGTGTTTAGTAGGCCCTCATGCCAAAATTTATCATGGCCTCCAGGCAACTTTACCTCTGAGCAGCATCCAGATTGAATGGAACAGCTGAGGCAAGTGATGAGAGTCCTGGTGATGCACAGGAGATTTGAAAATGAGGAGTGGGAATAGGACACACCACCTCAAGTGTATGCTCAGCAAATCAAGACATCAAGCACCTCTTTTGTTCTCTGCAATACATCTGTAAAGGGATGATAGGAATTTGTGTCCTTCAGTGCAGCCATGGTCCTTCCCTTGTTGTCACTATGTCACTAAGAGCACAAGTTGTGCTCTGAGTATTAAACTTTGAAAAGTACTGATCTTCTACAGCATTACCTGCCCTATTTGGTTTTGGTTTTTTTTGCCTACTTATTTTTTTAGCACGGTGAATTAAAGACAATTTCAGATTATGCACACTGTGTTAGAGTACAGAGAGAAAACTAAGCCCTTCCTTTGGCAGTACTCAAGAAGCAGGCAACAAAATAATAGATAACTTTTCAAGAAGTCATCTGCCTTTTCTTGAAATAGGATATTGGTGTAAGCAAACGTTCTAAATTTTGGGTCTGGAACAGAAAAGGAAGACAGTCAAGTGGAAATCATGTCACTTTAGAGCATATCATCTCTGAGTATAATTCTTTAATAAGAACAACTAAATCACAGGATTTCTTGTAATACATTGAAAACACGATACTTCTCTCTCTCTCTGTCATTGTGTTGGGAATGAAAGCACTGCATGAACAAAGAACTAGATCTGACAGTTTCATGAAGGACTCTCTTTTTTTGGCCAAGTGGAAATGTATTAACAGTTTTTAGAAAAAAAATATAAACATGCTACTGGCTGAGTTCAATCCGAACTGAATTTTAAGTCTGATATTTTGAGTAATGTTGCGGAAATGCACAAAGGTGGAAATGCTTTCTTCCAGTAGTTTATACATCAATGGATGGAAAGGCAAACATTTTGTGATATCTGTACTGGCAAAGAGTAGATGGGACATCTCTTACTGATGTTAATGGAGAATTAAAATTTGGCTGTGCTGTGAAGGCTGTTATTTTGGCTATAAACCAGAGTTTTGTAATCTGGTAATTCTTCCACTCTGTTTAACTTCCAGACATAATCTGAACTAAATATGTTCTGAACTATATGGACTTGCAGCTCTGTATTGCCTAAACCCCGATTCTGTCAGGAGTGTTTTATAAAATTTCTATACAGAAGGAAGTCCTAGTGTTTTCAAATTTGGTTTTTAAAGCTTAATTGTTTCAAACTCATGACAAAAAAAAGTTTTCTATTTTTTAAATGTATTTGTTTTTTTATTAGATGCTTATTTGAAGAATTGAACAGTTGATAATCAAATTGTAATCTCAAGTACTATAGAGTTTAGATAGTATCTTATTCTCATAGTAGCTTTTATTCCTAGCTGAACAAGGGTTTCATTACATTTTGCTTTCAAAAAAAATTAAAAAAAATCGGCATAGGATAATTCAATATTCAATACACACATAACTAAGAATAACTTATTTGAATCTGGAAAAGACAGCAGCACAGATAAATAATTCCCTATATAATTTTTACTCTGCCTTTTAAGATGCTCGTGTCAGTGTTTTTATGCCTTGGGGAATAATTTTTATTTTAATAGAATGTCAGCTGCATTATTCTTTTTGTCTATCAGCCTAATTATAAAGTAATGACATGTGACACATCATTGGCACTGACATACCTTAGAAAAAGTCCTGAATTTTTCTGCTGGTAGCCTGAGGCAAATATGAAAAATGTAAAACTCCTCCTTTCATTTCTTCTCTGACAGAGTCCATTCTAGTCAGCAATTAAAAGAGATAAGAGACTGAAATCTGTACTATTTTAACATCACAAATTGCTGCTCATGCAGAAATCTCATATTTTGGCAACACTAACTTGCTGCTGCGAGCTAGGTCTTAGGGAAGAAACTTGAGATGTAGAAGTGTAGTAGAAGGCCCATACTCTGAAGTTTTTCTAAGTTTCAGAGCCTGACCAATCGTTTTTATTTATTTTTTAAATAGTTTTAAATCTCTGCACACAGTTAAAAGAATAAGAATTTCCTGTGAGGAACTCCTGTTTTAGACCTACTTCTGGTCTTGCTAAACCTTTCTTTATCTTTCTGGTCTGTGCTTTGCTTACTTTTTCAGTCAAGTTTATGCTGCAACTATTAGGAGTCTTGATTTGCAAGTTTGATGGTTATTGTATTGCTGCCTGAACTAATTTCATTTGAGAGCTGATAGCTTTATTTTGTAGCAATAAGATTATCCTTGTTTGAAAGGTAATATTCTTGTGACTGAGATTTTGGCTCTCTACCTTCCTCACTGCCCTAAGTATTAAAATAGCTTTTGCCAAGTCTGATTAAAATCACTGACAGTGGGGCTTTTATTATCTAATAAAGATAATGAGGTGTTTGTTCTATTTCTGTGACAATGGTGGAAGGTCATATATGTCAGTACTCATGTATAACAAGTACTGACTTTGTAATCTCAAACTCCTTGGTTTATCATGATCTGATATTCTCCACAGAAGCCACGCCTCCAAAGCATGATACTTTCCGATGTTGTTGTAAATGAGCAGTAGCTGGAGGGACAACATCTGAGGAAACAGTGACACCATCTTTTAATAACCATTCTCCATCTCTGCTTCCACCAGAGATGCCTTCTAGTGTAGACTGCAGATAGTGCTTTGTTCTCATGTGACCTTTATTAACTGCTCCCTGAAAAGATTGTTGGAAGAAAATCATATCATGGATAACTGTGCTCCTTAGAGCCTGCGAGACTAAGGAAAGACATTTTAGGTGGATTTTTCTGAGTGCTGTCACTCACTTTGAGAAGGGAAGAATCACTCTGGTACTACATGTTTCTGAATCTGCCATGACATTCTATGAAGGCATCTTGTTTGTTACTGCTTTGGAAGAGTCAGAGTGCTCTAAGGTACTAGAGGTAAATCTTGTGGGGGTTTTTTTGTGTGTGTGTGTTTTTTCTTAGTGTGTTTATATTTTTAAAAGAAAATTATTATATTACACTATACCTCTAGATTATTCTGTTTCTTCTTCTGAGAAGAAGAGTAGCACTGGTGTGAGTCTGGTTGATGGTCTTGGTGTTATTCCAACACTCATCATTATAGAATTGATGGGGAAGGGTCTACATTTGTGAATCTTGGAAATTCCTGCTGTAGGAAAAAAAGAATTTACGTTCCTCTCCAATAAGTAATGAGGAAAGTTGTAGTCCTGGAATAGCTGGTTGATAGTGAAGTAAGCTTTTGCACAGGGAAATTTAGGGAGCAGGAACTTAATAGAGATGGAGAGAATAGTTGCTAGATGCTGTGGAGTGCCTTTTGTTTTCCTGTATGCTCTCACCCTCATGTTTTGTATCTAGCCTCTTTGTAGATTCACTTTGCTGTTTCCTCTCCTGGAATGGTTATAGTTAGTACTAGGTGTAGCATGCATCTAAATTCTATCATCATTTGTGATAAAGCAGTATAAAGGATTTGACTGTCTTCACGACTGTATAGAATTACTGAAAATTCCAAAGAAACTTATTAAAAAAAATGTGTCTGAGTCTGCAGGTTGCT